AGGCGGCATTCGGCGGGGCCTCAGATCTTCGTGGCTTCTTCGTTCTGTCTGTCTGGGTATCGATTCGCGTCATTCCCTCGGACGTTGCAGCGTCAGACGCCGCGTCGCGTCGCGCCGCGTCGTTCATTCAAAACTTATTCAAATCGACAGCCGAAAAATAAAACAAAACAAAACTTGCGCCAAAAATAAATTAAAAACAAAAAGATGGCGATATTTTCTGGCTACGAATTTGGAATACTCTAAAAAAAAGATACTTTTAAGTATAGAACGTTTACCCAAGTTGGAAGATATATAATATGGGTTCTGGTTTGGTTCTGGCTTCGATTCAAACGGAAGACTCCTCAAGGACCGGTTCCTCGACTTCGGGTTAACAAAAAAGACACACAGGGTTGCTTTGGAGCATGCATCAGCTGTTCGAGCTCGACTCGGGAGACTTCTTTCGCCGCTAATGGATTGCCGAACCCACAGAAATCTCCTGCCGTCAACGCGAATCTCTGGCTTTCTTCAATCAGCTGTCAATCAGCTGTCTCTTCTTAGGCATAGTTTTGGCAAAGCAGCGGCAGAGGTGTTTCCCTTAAGTCATTCTCTTGAAACGATGTCCATCTCAAACCAATTCTAAACAAGTCCAGACAGTATCTCAATGGGAACCTACTTTTTACACAAATTTTTGGCTGCATTTTGCATATTTTATAGATACATATCTGTTAAATAGATAGATAGCAACACTTCTCAAAGCCTCAGCCCATAGACCCGTTTCGGTGTTCCCCTTTTTCGTGGCTCTCTGTGGCGCTGTGTGGCGTGAGGCGAAAATACGTTTTTATGGAGCCACTCGTCTAGACAGTCGGCATTCGAATGACGAAAGCCCCATCCATCCACCCGTCGAACCGTCCATCCATCCATGGATATCGAGGCGAAGTTCGATAACGAAACGAAGGGACAGGCCCGTCTGTGCCCGTATACCCGTACACCCGTATATCCGTCCGTATAAACGTTATCAATGTAATCAAATGATATTGATTGTTCACTTCTGTCTGTCTGTCTGTCCGTCTGTCTGTCTGTCTGTCGAATGTTTGAATGCCAGACTACCGGACCTATCTACCTGTTAAATGTTAATGTTAATGTCTGTTCCCCACCTCCATTCGTCCGTCCGTCCCTCCACCTGTCTGCCTGTCTTTCCGTTTGTCTGTCTCTGGCATTTGGTTGGGAATTAATGGGAGAATCATTTATAATCCGACAGACAAACAGTCAAAGCCACAAAGCGCTTCCACCTTGACCAGCGTCAGAGTCAGAGTCATCTGTTGAGTATCTGTATCTGTAGATGTGTATCTGTATCTGTATCTGTATCTGTAGATATATGTTACGCAATCCCCAGAAGATGGGGTCGGGGGATTGGGGGGACTCCCAAGGAACTTAGTGAAGCGATTAGCTTCCGTTTCAGTTGCTTCAGCGTCTGCCGTCTACCGTCTACCGTCTGCTGAATGACTTGCCAGCAGCCGAACAGCCAAGCAGCCAAGCAGCCAAGGCAGCCTTGGCGGCAGTCCGGGGATTTCACTAATCGGTAGAACAGGCAGAGGCGGCAACAGGGAGAGGTGCTCCATACGTGGGGGCATGCACGGAGGACTGGAATTTGTATTTCTAGGTCATTAGGGGAGCAGCCAACAACAACAACAACAGCAGCAGAAACCATTTAAGAACCAGACGAACGAACGAGCGAACGAACGAACGGTTCGAGGGGCACAAAGGTAGAAAGGTAGAGATCCATGCCATGGGGCATGTCAGGGAATATGTTTAATTTATTATTAATGGACTCTCTGCGACCTGCCCCACCTTCCTGCCTCCCCCCACACACACACAAAGGCACGACGTGTCCTTGAGTTCTGGACTGATTTTTTGATGAATTATTTGGTGTTTTGGCGGAATTATGGAAATTCCTGGAAGAACATTTGGGATTCCTGAGGCAAAAATATGACAGAAAAATGCACTTCCATGATGAAATATGTACTGTATCTGATGGGAGGAGGAATACCCTTTAGTTTTTGGGATGGAAAGGAACTAGGACTCCATCTTTCCTATGAACAATCGATGTCTATCGATAGCTGGCGATTGTTTACGATTTATCTATGAACTTCCTTCTGGAACTTTATCTTTCCGATTAATAATCGATTAATTTGTATCGATTCTGTTCTTTCACTTGTTTCTGTGATTTCTGTACCGCCGATCATCTTGTTGGGCTTTAGACACTCGACTTTTTCTATGGGAAAAGCATGCAGTGCGAGCGAGAGAGCTAGCTTGGCTTTTCAGCTGAGCTGGGAGCAGGGCTGCGGCACATACTATCGATTGTTATCTTTATATTGATCTTTACTTGCACGCACAAAAAAAAAAAAAAACAACAAAGAAAACAATTCCACAATTGAAGTACAACAGATCTCTATTTTTGGAATATCTTCATATAGAGGCGAACGGTACAGCGTGTGGTGTTCTCGGAGCTCCATTCGGTGAAGATGGCGTAGTCCCCGCTGGGAATGGGGATGAGGCGACTGAATTCCGTCTCCAGTTCTCCGGTATAGAGTTTGTCCACGAAAATGTCATGCTATTTGTGGTAGAACGGTCCATATAGAGGCCACGGGTCTTGGGTCTATCTACTCACATCGTAGGGACAGGTGTGATTGAGGTTCGTGTTGTTCACAAACGATCGAAAGAACATTAACGCAATCGGATGCTTCTTTTTATTCCTCATGAACTTGCAGGCATCATAGGAGAGGTCGATGAAGAAGGGCTTGTATCCATTATCGAACTTCATGAACTTCACTTTCACCTAAAAAAGAGATCCGCCGGATATAGATCCTCACTCATCGCGACAGAAAGCGCTCACCCAGGCCGTTTTTATGGGCAACTGATGCATCTTCGTGTATATATCCAAGTACTTGTGCGATCGATTGACAGCCTTGATCTGGCACGTGGCAAACTCCATGAATTTATCATCTAATGAGCTGCATTTCAGGTTCGTGAATGTCACGTGACTGAAACTTGTCTAAAGAGAAAGGATATCCCCTTTTTATTGGTCCATTCCAGGCATGTCCATACGATTACCGATTGCAGAGCTATCCATAGAACGAACACCGGCAGCCTCCACATTTTGGACGAAACTGCGCTGCGGATCATCGATTCACTCCATTAATAATACCTTTTAGAGACAATAGACCCATTAGATCGTCCAACAATCCGCATCCAAATCGAATGGTGGGGCTATTAAAGGTCTTTAATGCGATTTTCCGGCGGAATTATTACAGGGCAATCCTCTGGTTAAAGATTATATCGAACGGAATGGACCATAATCATATAATTATGGAGTTTTTACAGTAGATTTCTACTCCACTGATTCCGCTCGATTGAAATGTGATGCAGAACTATATTTGTCCAGTTTAAAGGGAAATTGCTTTGAATGGGAGTTTCGAAGGTCGCGGGTCACGTGGCGCGACATTAAGATATCAAAAACCACCATAATTGATGGCAAAATGTTGGGAGATTCTGTGAATCTTTTAGATCGATCCTCAAAGGTACTTCACAAACGATAAACCTGAAGGAAGAGGCTTGTTTGGAACGGCTTCTAGCAATGTTTTAGACCTGATTGGATCATAAATGGAAATGCTACTTCAGAGCATTATTAATTATTTCCATAACGTAGTCTGGAACTTGAGTCTGTTTTCCTTGCTCGCTGGCTCCAAAACTCGTATCCTTCTCAGTTGTATTCTTCTCTTTTTTCGCTCTCTTATTCTATGCGCTCTCGGCCAGGAGAGTACAGCACAGTGGGCTTAAGAACTAGTGGTATTAGGGGATAGTAATGCCACAATATTCGCATTCTTTTGAAGTTAAAACAAGCCTTTGATCTTTTCCGGATTTTCCGGATATTTTCACGCCCTTTCTTTAGAAATCATCATACCCGAACAAAGACGACACTTATTATGATATTTAAATCTAGAATCAAACATCATTTTCGGTGTTTAAACGCTTTAATGAGGCTTGGAAGAAAAAAAAAAAAAAAAAAGAGGAAACAAATAAATAGCCGACGATTTTATGACTGATTGAGCGCGCTGATTGATCAATCAACTTTTGATCCTGATAAACTGAAATATACCTTCAGAGAGGCGCGATGTATTTTGTTCGTATACCACTCCGTGAAGAAGGCATAGTCGCCATTGACCATAGGAACATATTTGGCGAAATCCGCCTCCAGATTCCCGGTAAACAATTTGTCGACAATCACATCGTGCTGGAACGATCTTCGGCTTTAGGATCTCTCTCTCTCAATCAATCACAGAATACTCACATTGTAGGGACATGTGTGGTTTACGTTCGAGTTTTTCTTAAAGATATTGTAGAAGGAGCGAACGATGGGGTTCCGGGGGCTCGCCAGGAACTTGCAGGCATCGACGTTGACGTCAATGAAGAACACTTTGTAGCCATGATTGTAGCGCATAAGCTTTAGGTTGAACTGTAAGAGGGATCTCAGGATCAATAGGTCCTCTCTCCTGTCTCCTGTCTCCTGGAACTCACTGTGATATTTTCCAATGGAAGCTTGAACAGTTGAGCCCTGAGCTCCATATACTTGTGGGTGCGATTCACTGCCTTGATGCGGCACATGACATCCCCGAATGTTCTATCAGCCATCTCGCACTTGAGGTTCGTAAAGGTCACATGTGCGTGGGTCGTCTACAACAAAAGGCACCAATAATAGACTCTTCCCAGACACTTGCTTTCCTTTAAAGGTTTACCGTTAGAGCACCCAACAGAATCCATACACAGAGCAGTCCGTCCATTGCGAACTATTGATCGGCGGCGCCTCTGACTCGTTGTGGCATAAACGTTTCTGATGTTGCGGTGTATATATTTTAACGAATCAAGCCATTTACAGTTCTGGAAAGCAGAGATCGTATCGAAATGATGATGGTCTCACCACCGCCCATGATCGCTGATCCAGCCATAATGACAATTGTTCATAATTAGCCGCCGGTTAGCCTAAAGTACACTCGGACAGTCGCTCGATGAACGCCGACGGTGAACCAGTAGAAGGAGAGGCTGTAGTCCCCTTGGGGCAAGGGAATATACCGCAGGAATCGCGTCTCCAGATTGCCGGTCCACATTTTGGAGATCACCAAATCGTGCTGGAATACACACAAACGAGTCATAGCTATCGCTCCTCTTGGTCCATCGATCACTCACATTGTAGGGACACGAGTGGTTCAGGTTCGTGAACTGCTTGACCGTCTGGAAGAGTTCTTGGAGCAGGATCTCCCTGATGCCATGCTCGGTCCTTAGACTCCTGAAAAACCCACAGAAATCAAAGGTCAGGTTCATGAAGAACGGCCTATAGCCATGATCATGACGCATGGGAAGGATTTGGCACTGCAAACAAAAACAAAAAATGCATTCGATTCTGGCAGATCTATCGTGTAGAGGCTTACAGTTATATTATCCACGGGCAACTTGTAGATCTTTGCGTAGATATCCATATATTTGTGGGTTCGATTCACTGCCTTGATCCGGCACATTTCAAACAGCCCGAACCGCCGGTCAATCATCTGGCACTTGAGGTTCGTGAATGTCACATGTGCCACCGCGCACTGTGGAATGGTATGGGGCCTTTTAGTGGGGGGTTCTACTAGCTTTTTGTTACCTTTAACCTTCAACCATTTGTTTACCATTAGGAAAGTGCCAGCAATCGCAGATAACTTCCACATGTTGTTTCCAGTCGAGCACTGAGGCTAGTCACAGGTGAACCATGGCCTTTATCCAACTGAATCCACTCCCACCCCCACCCCCACCCCCACCCGCACTCCCACTCCCACTCGATAAGCGATCGATAATGAGCCCTCTCGTGGGCGGTGGGAGTATTTAATTATAATTCTGTTTTAATTTGTGGAACATTGGAAGCCCAAAACACTAAAATCCATTAGTCTTTCGGGGCACAGGCATGGGCACGGGCAGAGACAGAAACAGAATCAGAAACAACAAAAAATCTCGAAAGAACTGGAAACCCATCGTAAAATTAATGTTCCAGCGGAAGAGACGGCCTCAAGTTGTGGCCAGAAAACAAGTCCAGACGGAAAAAACGTCCACAATTTTATTGGCCTTCACTTAACGCTCATAAATTTGTCTGCTGCTGCGGCTGCTGCAAGAAGAAATCCGCGAGACGCAAAAGGCAGCAAAAAGCAGCAAAAAGCAGCAAAAAACAGCAAAAGGAACGAAAAGAATATGGTTTATAGGGGCCACGCTTCCGCAGATGAAACGATGGAACGGCGATGTCTGCTGGAAACGGGTTCGGAAACACACAGTTCTTTCCTCGTGGACAGTGGAGTTCTGTTTGAATTTTCCCATTAAAAAATATGGCTGGAAACTTCTCAGAGAGAGAAGTGGCTTCGTGCCTGCCTGACTGCCTGACTGCCTGCCTGCCTGCCCCCAAAATCCCACCCATTTCTTGTCGCTGGAGTCCTCCTCAGGTTAGTGGCGAACTTCACGCACAAATCTGATTAAAACTTGGTCGCAGTTAATGAACCAAGAAGAACCCCCTCTCTGTCGCTCCAGACATTGCCTGTTCCTGTGCCCCATCCTGTTGCAGTTGCACACACACACACACAGACAGAGAGACGGAGACGGAGACGGAACAGACAGATAGCGAAAGAGGCGTCTAAAAATAGCCAACAGAACCACATGTTGGTCAAGTTTTTTATGGAATACTCTGTATTTGAGGGTACTATGAGATTGGGGAACAGGTTGCACATTTTTGTGCATGGAAACCCTTAAGGAACAATCTTTTATGTGTGTATAACTGTGAAATGTCTCAAGAGAATGCCATGCAACTTTGGGATCTCAAATATAATGCATTAAATTATTTACACAAAAAGTTTCATCAAAATCGAAGCCAAATTCACCTTCGAAAAGAGTCTTAAAGGGGAAAGCTTTGGGTTTTTCATGAGATTCGAATTCGGATTGGCTTTGGAGTAGGTTTTGGGGGATTACTTTATATTCGGATTAGGGTATTCGTGGCCTTAGTGTGGGTCCTCTTTCTCTTACGTTTTCTTCTTCTGCTACTCTTCTTTTTGTGCTTGGTTTTTGCTGTTGTTTTTTTGTTTTTTGGGTTGGCTAGCAAATGTTACCCACATCTGTCTCTCCTCCTGGCCGGAGGAGTCGCACTGCCAGTCCCGAGTCGCGAGTCCGTGTCTCAGAGTCCACTTTCCAGTGCAACAGCAACCATCTTTTAATAAATGCGAACGTGATCGCGTTTCGTGCGTCACTGAATGCCCAGACAACAGACAGAGAGGGAGATACAACGACAGACAGAGACAGAGGGAGCGGGAGAGGGAGAGGGGGAGAGGTGGAGATGGAGGAAGACAGCGGGAAAGAGACTTTGTCGAGGCACAAGGCGTTGCACCTTTGGCCAAGGTGCATTGATCGGGATTGGGATCGCTGTCTGGGCAACTTTTCTGTTCCCGCTCCCTCTGCCGCTCCCTCTGCCGCTGCCGCTCGGCCATTGGCTGCGCCGCTTACTTCTGTTGTTGTTGTACTTTTTTGTGAAACGAAATTATTATTGTATTATGCACGCGTACACACATCCAAAAAGTATCTGGAGACAGCGGTTTTTTCCTCCTCTTTTGTTGTTTTTTTGTTAACGACGCGACGCGTGCGTCGAGTGCCCGAAAGTGCGTTCAATGAACGCTGCAGCCACACAGAGTCCCAGTCCCAGCCCCGGGCACAGGCACAGGCACAGCCACAGCCACAGCCACGATGGGGGCAACGATCGGTAGGAATGGACAAACGATAATACAGCGGGGATCGTAATGCCCCCGCCTTGAGTGCAGGGGGGGAGGGCGGGGACCGAGGGTCAGACTACAGACTGCAGACTGCAGACTGCAGTGTCGGTGTCGCTGCTGGGACTTGAGTCGTTCAGTCGGCAGATATTCGAGTCGCGGCCCTTGGCCTCTGGCATTCTGCATTTCATAAGTGAACTGCTTGCGGATTTAGCGAAATGCACTGCTTGTATTCATGATTTACCACAACTAATTGGAGGAGTTTGTACCCAAAGCAGTGCAAATATGAAGGCATATGTAGGCAATATGTAGGCAAAGCAGTCCACAGATCTTCAGCTAAGGGATCTGTAGGTTTTTTGGGCTTTGAAGCAAGCAGTCTACAATTGGTATTTGCCCTCTACCAAAGAACAAGCAGCCAAACTGTGTTCAGTGGGATGATTAATCAACAGATACATAGATACACAGGCACAGATATAGATACATACAATGGGTAGAGGCTTACACACTCATATATGGATCGCCTCAAGCACGATTCCCCGTCGAAAAATACCTTTCAATAGAAAGTTCCCCCCCCAAACGTAGTCCCCACTTTCCCTCGAATCAACACGTGCCCCAATCAAGTCGCACATCGTCCGCTTGCAGTTCATCGGCCACATCCAGACACCCCACATGCGGGTACACCCCTGGACTTGCACTTGCACCCCTCCGATCCACCCCCCGATCCACCCCCCGATCCACCCTCCGATCCATCCTCCCGCTACGACTGATAACGTCCCCGCTACAGACGGATGGCGGAGGTTCCGATTTCCGATTACCGAAAGGCGCGTTCCCCTCGGAAACATAACCGCAATCGAGCTCCTCTCCCCTCCAGCCCCTCCCATGCCCCGTGCCTCTCTTGGCCGTCGTCTGGCGAGCAAATCAGTAAATGAAATTAACTCGCTTTCGACCGAACGAACGAACGGCCGACGGACGTATAAACACTGTCTGACGGCATCAATCGGTCGCTCAATCGGTCTCTCTGTCGGTCGTTTGGTCGTTTGGTCTCTCGGTCGCTGGATGATAATAATAAACCAATAAAATTAATACAAATTGCAATTGTTGGCGCGACACACTTCAATTGGTTTGCTCTTTTTTTGCTGCTGCTTCTCTCTTTATTTCTTTTTTTATTTGCCTTTTATTACGCACATATTTATTTAATGCAGGTCTCTATCGCTGCCTGTCCGCTCGTCTAGAGAGGGGTCCCAGTCCCAGTCCAGTCCCGGTCCCGGTTCCACATCTGCATATGCTCGTTGTATGTCTACCCTGTACGTAGAATACCCTGTCTCCCCGTCTCGCTATCTCCCTGTCTCCCTGCTCCCTGTCTGTCTCCTCACATGCGATGTATGTGTGCCCCCGTCTGCCTCGCTGTTGCGTGTTTGTTTGTTTGTTTGTTCATTTTATTGTTTGCCCTTGTTTTCCCTGCAGCCTGCCACTGCCACTGCCACCAATGCCTGCAGCAATCGAGTGTCTGGATGAACAATACTCAAACATTCACACATATACATATGCATGTGGATGTATTCTTCGTTCCTTGAAGGATCTGCTCCAGGATCGATAGAATACAAATTCGATATATTTCTAGTAGTTATCGATAGCAATTTACATAGATATCTCAATAAATCAACGATTTTTTTGAAAACTAGTTCAAATCTCCATTAGCTATCGACATTAACTATCGGTCATCGACCGATAACACAGCCCCACAAAAAAAAGTGTCGTGCGCTGCTGAGCAGAGTATCATATCCCTATGTATTTTGGGGCCCTGAACACGAATCCAAGGTCAGAAATGCTCCATCCCGTCAGGTTTTTTTTTCTAACCTCAAAATCCAATTTGGTCGAAACTTATATGAAAACTTTATCGGATTTGCTTGAAACTCGTCAAATTATAATTTCTCTTAATGACTAAAAATTCAGTTATCGACTATCGCTTGAGGAAATAATTGTCTATCGATTGTAAGTTTCAGAGAAAACCCACAGCCGCGATTAAAACGTACAGATATTTGCATCTATCGATAATTATCGAACGATTGGTCATTCTTTTCCGCATTTAAGCATTGCTCGAATCAATATCCAGGTCAAAACTTAATTGTATCCTCGAAAGAATCGGTATCTGCATTTCTGACGTCTGTGGACATTTCTAGCGCCAAAACAAATAATGTTGAAAACTTTTCAAGCAGCAAAAACTTCTTCAAGTCGCCCAGAGTTCTCTGGAAGGAAGGAGGAGAGGAGGAGACGAGACGAGAAAAGAAAAGAAAAGCGCTTAGCAAATTGAAATCAAACAGTTTAGCATAAATGCGCATAAATGTCGAAAGCTGTCATCAAACACATTTCTTATTTTGTCATATGCTCGTACATTTATTCTCCCCCGTATTCCGTATTTGGGGGAATATTAAAATAAATAGCAAAAGCTTAGAATACACAGACACAGAGAGCAGGACACGCACTCATGAGGATGAAGGGATAGCTGTGCGTAGGGGAGCAGCACGTGGTATTTGCTTAGGAGGCGAGAACACGCATTTCTCTTCTTTCTTCTTTCTGTTTTTTTTCGGGCAGCATAACTTTCAACGAGTTCTGAGCCTCAGAGATACAGGGGAGCCAGCTCCTGAACATCCAACATTCGCACGTCATCATCATCATCGGGGAAGAGCAGAAAACGGAGGGCAAACGTTGCGTATGCCTCATATTACGTATACGCCACCACCGACGCGTCGGCTGGGGCAGGAGAGGGCGTTGGGAAAGCGCTCTTCAAATATGCGTAGGCCGCATACATATCTACA